TCTGATCATTTTCAAACCAAGTAACATACTGAGGATTGAGAGTAGAGGTTTGATTACCCGAGGAGTCAAGAAGGTATTTCGGCGGAGCAGACATCGTGCCATCAATGATTCCGGTGAGATTGTACCGGCGAAGGATGGGAGGAACAGAGCACTCTAGGTGAGATAGTTCGTCGATGTGAGCTTGATCGGCACCATAGATCCAATATTTTGGATTGTAATTGACGATGTCGTCGAGGAGAGAGAAGAATTAGGGCAAGAAGCAGAGCCAGAAGAAGGAGATCCAGCCATGGCGATTGCTAGGTTTGGAAGAATCGAAGAGAAGGAAGCAAGAGATTTCTAGGGTTTGAAGATTCGAAGAGGAAGAAGCGGGAAGCAGAGGAAGAGGATCAGCTGTCGTAGGACTTAGGCGAGTAATAAGGTTACACAATGATGTCTTATATACTAGTTACTCACTAGTATTAGATAACTAACTAATTACACCTTCATCAACTAATCACTCACTAATTACAAAACTACCATAACAACCTTAACTGTTTACAGTTTTACCCTTATTAATACATACATACATACATACATACATACACATAGACAAGTTTAAAGTTACGTTAGTTGCCGAATGATTTAGACAAAAAGACGTAGGTTACTTTGATACCTATATACCGGTTACTAGGCTTAAATCCAAAATATAAGTTTGAAATGATCACTAATCGGATGTCAAAACCCTAAAACATGAGGAGTCAAACCCACCGCATCTAACTGTGAAGAAGATTATAAGCATGGGACGCAGTCGGGAAAAACTCTCCAGCAACCTAACTAATGGGCACAAAACGAAGTCTCCAACCGAACAGAGATGAAGATTAAAGAGCAGGTAAAGACTGACGGATCAAAACGCAAGGAGGAGAGAACGAGACTTAAGGATGGTAACAACAGCTAGCCGAGTCAGATTCCATAACAGATATATAGTAGTTGAACTGCACATAAAGCTCATAAATGGTATTCACTATCACATTTGCTTCCAACTGAGAGAGATTTTTAACAAACGGCTTCAGACAAATGAAAGATGGCCCTTTTTATGTACCAAAATAGGAAAGGGTGGCCCCACTACAAGAATATTGATTATTAGGGGCAGTAGCTTAGGGGCGAAAATAAGGATTCATCTCTATTAATTTGCATTAGGGGCGGATATATAATTTTGCCTCTAATTAAAGTGATAGGGGTGGAATAAAAATTGTTGCTATTAATTTCAGATATTAGAGGCGAATAAATGGACCTCTAATATATTTAATGAAATTTAATAATTTTAGTTAGGTATTTACATATTTTTCCGTTTATTTTGGATGTGTTTAATGCATAAATCAAAAGATATTAACTCCCAAAACCCTAATTCTCCGATACCTATGCACCGACATCCCTTATTTCTCTAATTTCCAACCTTCCACGCGCACAGCTCCTTCCTTTTGACCTCGTGTTCTCTGTCATTTCTTCCTTCTTCATAATCTTTTCTTCTCTATTTCGTCTTTATCTTTCTTCATTGTGATATTCCAGAGATTAAAAAACTGAGCGACAAAATTTAAGATTGGGGAGAGTGCCCGGATTTGAAGAATTCGAAGTAGAACTGATTGAAAATTTTCAAGAAAGTTTAAGGTAAAGGCCTTGTGCTAATCTTCACTTAAGGATTTTCTTATACTTTTAACTTGGTGTAAGATTTCTAGGTTTTATTATTAGAAGATTGCCTTATGAACCGGCTCAATTTGGGGTTGGGCTTTCTTTGTTATTTTTGTTTGTTTTGCTTTTGCAGATTTAATGTACAATTCTTTTGAGAAGGGTGACAATACAGGTTTCTTCTTATTTTTTGAGTTCTGTTTATATTTAAATATTACTTTATCTTATATTGCTCTTTTATCTAGGATTTTCAATTGAAGTTTTATTTTTTGGAAATCTATTTTCTTTCATCTCCCTCTACTGTATCTACAAGGATGAAGGAACGATAAAAGACGTGTGCATTTGGGCTTTTGGAGGCTGAAGATTGAGTCTTTGATTGCATATAAGTTTTGTTATAATTTTATAAGTACTACATTATGGGCTAGATTTGTACTTCTTCTTCTTTCATGTATTCCCTATAAACATTGTAAATCAATGCATTCAAGAAGAATATATATACGTATTTGACAAAAAATGTAAGTATATATTAATCTAATTTACAAGGAAAGTAAAATTAAATAATTAAATTTAAATAAATTCTACAATAGAGGCAGAATTGTATGCCTCAATTGCTTTAACTGCCAGATGGAGTAATAGCAACAGCAGTTTTAAGAGCAAATCTTTTATCCGCCACTCCTTAATTTTAGGGGCAGAAATTAACAATAATTGCACCTAATAATAGTTAATAGATGCAAATAAAACTGCCTCTAATAATTACGAATTTTGTAGTTGCCTTCCTGGAGATTTACTTTCGACTTATAAGGCCAAAAGAGTTGCCAACTTGCCACTTTCCTGCAGATATAGAATAGAACACTAAAACGTAATATAGGGTCGGTCTACATTACCTTTCATAAGAACGTTAATATTGGGATGTAATAACGTCTGAATACAATTTTACATTAAAAGTGTAATCTGAGATGCACGTTGTAAAAGCCAGCTTGTTATAGTAATAGCAATATCAATATTCATAATTAATTATAACGTTACGATAAAATATGCCTTGGAGTGTAAGTTTGAATGAATCGTAACTTTACATCAAATGTTTTTTTTTTTTTTTTTTTGTCTAACGATAGATTTTGTTAAATTAGAGGTTAGATTAGCTACTGACGGGGTTTGAACCCATACCCTCATGCAAAGGCTCAACACTTTTCCACCACTGTGGTAAAAGGCTCAACCTTACCTCAAACGTTGAATGATACGTCATGTTGTAACACAATTATGATGTGTAATTTCATCATGTCCCCTAGTAATAACCTTACCTTGACGTTAATTGTTGCGTCATGTTGTAACACGATTACCATGTTGGGTAATTTAAGGACGCCCCCTAATAGTAATATACGTCTATACTATTATATATGGACGTCAATGCTGTAATAAAAAACGTTATAGTAATTCAAGCACGCTAAGGGGTGGTTTGGGAGTGAGGTGCTTAAAAAAAAGCACCCATGAAAAAAAACTGTGAGGGTTTTAGGTGTTTGGTAAACTAAAAAAAAAGGGCTTATTTTGGAAGCTGCTGTGAAAATAAGCTGAAATCAAAGGAAAAAGCTAAAGCAGCTATTTGCAGCTTTGGAAAATTGGCTTTTTTTCAAATCACACGGAGCTACAGTGCTCCTTTAATAAAAAGACTCACTATCAGACTGCTTTTTTTTTTTTCAAAAGCACTTTTACAAAAAAGTTTACCAAACACTCTGTTGATTTATTTCACAGCCGTTTATTCTCACAGCATAGCCGCTTATTCTCACATCAGCTTTTTTTCAAAGCACAGCAATACCAAACCAGCCCTAAGTATAAACACCTGCCTTTACACTTATAAAATGGAATCGATGCCATTTTCTTACTAAGAGCAACTCCACCATTGCTAAGGCCTCCCAGGGCTATTCACTATTTAATCCACCTAGTGGACAGTAATTGCCCTTAATGAACAGTAACAGTCTTTTACATCTCCACCCCTACACTGAATAGCCCTGGCAATAGGCAATAAAATATTAGTAATTTTTTATTTATAAAATAATACAAAATAATTTTATTTGTAATTTTGAATAAGATTTTTAATCGTTCTCGTTGCGCCACATGCCATTATCCGAAAAGACAATTATTGGTGATGGATTTCGATATGATTTTTATCCAATGCCGTCGTGCCACGAGTCGTTACCTTTTCAGAATCGTTGAGGATAGATTTCCAATAAGATTTTTAACCAATCACGTCGCGTCATGTGTTACAATCTTTGAGGATAGATTTTGATCAGATTTTTAACGAATGACGACATGCCACGTGGCATTATCTACAACCTAATCATTTCTGAATCCTCCATATAATCCACCATCCATCCTCAGAAATCTCACACTAATTTTCTCAAGATCTCTATCATTATTAATAGTTTATGCTTCATTCTTCACCAAAATCAAAATTTGTATCATTATTCATAGTTTCTTGTTCCTTCTTACAATGTCCTCTTCTTCAAGGATGATGTGGGAAATCAATTAGTAAGAGGAAGAATTGTTTAACCAATCAGAAGGAATGTTCAATCTTCAGGTGGCCCAAAATGAGATGGAAGAGGATGAGGAGCGTAGAAGGAGAGATGACCAACAGGCACAACTCTGAATACAGTCACATAAGTTTTGTTTGAATTTCTTCAAAAACTCGTTAACTATTCCACCTATGGAGTTTAGATGCTCACTGGATGTGGTTGTTTTAGAGTTACAAGCCCTCAGTAAACATTTTTAATTTCTGAAAAGAAAATGAAATAAAATTTCTTGGAGGGAATGGAGAACTATTTTTATTCTTTTTCTAGTGTTGTTCAACCATAAATGATTTTCCATATTCAGTAAGGCGTCTGAAACTTGAAGGAATAATTAACCCAGCACAATTGTTCATAGCAGTGACAGTGAGAAGAGATTTTTTAGCGTGACGGGCACACGGGATGGTACACCATATGTCACTATATAAATGGTGAGTATATGTATTAAAAAGTTAATAATTTAAAAATAAAATTTTTTGTCACTTACATAAAAGCACGTGATGTACCATTCGTATCATTGTCACAATGAGTTCCATGGAATATGGAGCTTTTGAGAATGGGAGAGCACGAAATGGACAATAATTGGAAAGAAAACTTGTTGATTGTGACGGATGTGACCATTGCGCATTAGCTTTTATTAAAGGGAACTTTAATGAAAAGCACATGGTACTGTTCACTTTAACGAACTCAAATGTCGACATTGGCAGTGTCAATTCAAGTGAAATGACAGATTGTCCCCTAACTTTCTGGAGGGGTTGGTAGCGGGTTGAATCTCCTTGATGCTGAAGAAACTATGTATAAAGACCAAAAGTTCTATTTATTCCAGATCTATATTAGATCATCACTCTTGAGCATGGCACCAGAGAAAGATGAGATGATCATCCTCAAAACCCCAGCACTTCTGAAGGTTCATTCTTCATTCCTCTTTCCTCAATGTGTATAGCGTACGTATATATGTGTGTGTATCTTTGAAGATCCAGTGCTGGAATTCCATCCCTAATAGTGCCCCTTCGAGGTCGGAGACTAGGGTTTATAAAGAAGGGTTATGAGAGATTAGCTCTTTATTAATAGTTGTGTATAAAATACCAACCTTCTCTTGAAGGGGTAAAGACTGTTGCACCCAAAAACCCTCCTCCCCCCAACGCACACAAACACTAGTTTAAGGGCTAGAATATAAATAAAGGTTTTACATTTTATATATTTTTAGGTTGAAGTTTTCCATCTTGTGATATACATGATTTACTTTTCTTCACAAGATAAATATATTGGCTTTAATTTCTTGTGTCATTGCAGTACATCCTTGAAACAAGCTGCTACCCAAGAGAGCACGAGCAGTTGAAGCAATTAAGGGAAGCCACTGTCGAGAAATACCAGTTCTGGTATGTTCAATATATATGTTACATATTTACAATAATTTTGAAGACTTATGTTTGGGCGAAGAACCTTTAAAGTACATACTAGAAATTTTATGTGTTTACTTTTTTTTTTTAACAAATGATATTATATAAAAAGAGAGTGCATACTAGGAGTTTTAGGTGTCAAAAAAGCAAAATTTTTTTTTTGAACAAAAAATATTATTTACACTAAGAAAGAGGAGGCGTACTAGGAATTTTATATTCAAGTGTTGAAAAAGTAATACTCGGACACTACTAATGAATTGTTCAAGAACTACGAAACCTGATTACTAGGGGTTCCTTTGTAGAAAATCCTTTTCGAAAAGCTGAAATTGCACCTTCAATGCGTTATATCACGTTCAACACAGAAAAATTAAATTGAATTAATAGCATGTTGAGCATTCAATAAAATAAAATAAAAAATCAATAATAATGATTAGAATGCGATACTCCCCTGAGTGTGTTGATAATATGTTGTGGGCCTATTTGACTTAACAATAATAGAGAGATTGAGAGAGAGAGAGGGTGCGGCAAAATGTAGAGAGAATTGGGTGAATTCCTAAGTGTGCTTTCACCATTCATTGTGTTTTTATTTATAGTAGTAGAGAAGTTTAATTTCTTACCACAATAAAATTACAATTCTAAGAAAATAATATCTAAAAATGAGGGAGACACCCTTTATACAATGAAGCCACCCTTTATACAAATGAGGCCTTTATCAAATTAAATTAAGAATAAATTAAGTTCACATCCATTTTTTTGCTATTTCATTGATTAAAACTTTATTTCTTTTCAATTTTTTATCAAGTCCCCTAGGTATTAATAAACGTCATTAATTATTTTAATAATAAAATATTTGTTATTTCTAAATATATTCATTTAGTGTTAGAAATGTTACATTTGATAATATCATTTGGTATATTTATATTTATGGCTAAATTTTTTATCATATATTTTTATTTTTATTTTGCAACTTTTTTATTTATTTGTACCAATATTCTTTTCACTTTTAATTTGTACCCATATATTAATTTCTTTTTGTGCCCATATTTTTCAAGTTTTATTTGTATTTGTACCCATATTTTTTTATTTATTTGTACCCATTTTTAATTTTACTAAATGTACCCATGCTAATTATGTTTTAAATTATATCAATAGTTATTTTTTAAAATATGTTAATAATTATGTGGGTATATTATTTTCTTTGCTATAATTTTGTGAAGAACAATATTATTCTATTATTTATTTTCAAGTATTTATTATATTTTAAAAATATTATTTGAATTTGTTTAAATTTCATAATCTGTGGGACATTAAACGCATAAATGCATGAGTTAAATATCTTAAATAATGTTAAGGACCTCGATCAAAATATTTAAACAAATAGGGTTTCTGTGTAGCAATTAAGTTGATTAGGAACCGGAACCAAAATGACCCTTAATTAACCTCAAAAGTTACATTTTGGAGCACAGGAGTATAATGAATGTGCCTGTTGATGGACTTTTCCTCTCTATGCTTCTAAAAATCATGAATGCAAAGAAGACACGGGAGCTCAGAGTTTTTTCTGGCTATTCTCTTCTCACCACTGCTCTTGCACTGCCCCTTGATGGCAAAGTATTCTCTGTACTTTAATCTTCCAAATTCGAATATCGCTCTTTCCGCAGTTTAAATTTTTTTTTAAATAGAATATCGTTGGTATAAAAAATTGATGTATGCTGGATGAACACTTATAATTAGTTATGGTGTTTGTAAAACAAATTTTCAGATTACAGCAATCGATCCAAATAAAGAAGAGAGTTTGGATTGCCGTTCATTCAGAAGGCTGGAGTGAATCATTAGATTAAATTCTTCCACTCGGATGCCTTCTCAGTCCTAAATGATCTCATTTCCAGTGTAAGTTTCTGTCAAACAAAAATTGGCTAGATTCGTTATTTACTTATAACATTGCAAGATTCGCAGTTAGAAGCCTACATGATCAATATACGAGTGCTGCTATTTGTACCATCTCAACTAACGACTATTAGGCCATCTCCAACCAATGGCTGGCCAGATGGCTCGTTTTAGCCCTCTGGCCCTCCAAGATTCTCCAAGATATTAATATTTTAATGAACAGTACAAGGTCATATTTGTCTTCGTCTCCAACCGAGGGTCAGAGAGCTCGTTTTAGCCCTGTCACAAAAAAACCGTCTTCAACCGAGGGCCAAAGGGTCATAGGGTCAAACATAATTTATTATTTAAATTATTTAAAAAATATTGAAGGAAATTATTGAAAATTTGAAAGAAATATTGTAGATGAAGGAAATATTGAAAAATATATTGAAGGAAATATTGCAGATGAAGTGACGAATTGAAAGAGCTTCACCATATTTATAGAAGTAAAAAAAAGTTTAAATTCAAAAAAAAAAAAAAAAAAAAATGAATACAACGGCTAGCTGCAGTCAGCTAGCCGTTATTCAAAATTTTTCAAACTATATGTGTCGGTTATAACCAACACTATTTGCAATTCAAATTAGTATTTGTGTCGGTTATAACCGACACTAATACTACAACAACAACAACAACAACAAAGCCTTTTCCCACTAAGTGGGGTCGGCTATATGAATCCTAGAACGCCATTGCGCTCGGTTTTGTGTCATGCCCTCCGTTAGATCCAAGTACTCTAAGTCTTTTCTTAGAGTCTCTTCCAAAGTTTTCCTAGGTCTTCCTCTACCCCTTCGGCCCTGAACCTCTGTCCCGTAGTCACATCTTCGAACCGGAGCGTCAGTCGGCCTTCTTTGCACATGTCCAAATCACCAGAGCCGATTTTCTCTCATCTTTCCTACAATTTCGGCTACTCCTACTTTACCTCGGATATCCTCATTCCCAATCTTATCCTTTCTCGTGTGCCCACACATCCCACGAAGCATCCTCATCTCCGCTACACCCATTTTGTGTACGTGTTGATGCTTCACCACCCAACATTCTCTGCCATACAACATCGCTGGCCTTATTGCCGTCCTATAAAATTTTTCCTTAAGCTTCAGTGGCCTACGACGGTCACACAACACGCCGGATGCACTCTTTCCATCCAGCTCGTATTCTATGGTTGAGATCTCCATCTAATTCTCCGTTCTCTTGCAAGATAGATCCTAGGTAACGAAAACGGTCGCTTTTTGTGATCTTCGCTAGATTGCTCCGGTCATTAGTGTGGATAAGTATATAAATGGATAGAGATAGGAAAGCAAACACAAGATGTACGTGGTTCACCCAGATTGGCTACGTCCACGGAATAGAAGAGTTCTCATTAATTGTGAAGGGTTTACACAAGTACATAGGTTCAAGCTCTCCTTTAGTGAGTACGAGTGAATGATTTAGTACAAATGACATTAGGAAAATATGTGGGAGAATGATCTCGTAATCACGAAACTTCTAAGTATCGGAGTGTGGTGTCGTCTTGACTTGCCTTATCTGTCTCATAGGTAGATGTGGCATCTTCTCTGGAAGTACTCTTCCTCCATCCAGGGGTGGTATCTTTAACTGGTGGAGATGCACAAGGTAATGTATCAATTTCACTTGAAGCTTACTTGTAGTTTCAGGCTTGGTCAAGCGCGATACAAACCATGTAGTAGGAGTCCCCCAAGTCGCCGAGCTAGGGGGTCTGCTGAAAGAGGTGACAGACAAGGTAAGCAATCAGAGCTCCGACTGATTGTTCACCTTCTCCCCATCTTGCAGCAGCATGAAGGATAAAGAGAAGAAAAATGAGAAGAGATGATATGAGATACTTTTGCTTTTGAAGAAGTAACTTTCCACAGGCTTATTCTTGAACTGAGGCTGGAGGGTTTTTCTGGTTTCCTCCAGAGTATAAGGCCGACTGAAGAATTTGAGGGTCAAAACAAGTCCATCAAATCTAGAGTACGTTCCACCCTGCTGATATGGGATACTTTTGCTTTTGACAGAGTAATGGATGTATCGGCACGTGTGCTGTTACGCTTGTCTCCACATGCTTCCTTGTATCCTTCGCACTTGCCCTATCTCTGTTCCTCAAGCAGATGCGGAATCTTCCCTGGAAACATAAGATGATGAAGATGAGTACTCGAGAGCAATGCCAGGTAAGTAATCAGGTAAGGGGTTCCAGGCAGTCAGTTCCTGGCTGGAAGCTTGATTCCAAGTGCTGACATATTGCTCTCTTTCTCCTTGTCTTGCAGGTAAAAACAAGGCCAAAAGAAAAAACAGGGAAAAAGCATGATATGGGATACTCTTGCTTTTTAACCCTGATGATATGAGATATTCTTGCTCTAGTATAGCTTGTTTGCAGAGGTATTATCGGGGGGAAAGAAAGCTGAATATTTCGAAAGGCTTTGTTGGGAGTGCCCTCTCAGATATGATGAAGGGTTGAGCATTTTTGCAGGTCTGCCTGTCCGTTGGGATGGAGGTCGACATATATAGGAGTCTCCCTAACAACAAGTAGTAATGCTATTCCTTTACCCTGCTTGGTCATAGCACGGTAGTGGGAGCTGCCAGTTTCACATGTTTTAACTCTGTCAGAGCACTTTGAAAAAGTGGTCTGTGGTATCTGGCTCTCGAGATTTGGAGAACGATGCCTCTTCGATTTTTGAGAAAGCAATCATGCTGGGGGTCTGACTCTCGAGATTCGGAGAGCATTGTCTCTTCGATTTTTGAGGAAGTAATCATGTTGGGAGTCTGGCTCTCGAGATTCGGAAGGCGGTGCCTCTTCGATTTTGGAGCAAGCAATCTTGTTGGGAGTGTTGTCTCGAATGTGAGTAAAGGTTGGACATGTTTGCTAGTCTACCTTGCCACGAAGCACAAAGGTTGACACACAGGGACTTTCCAATTATCCAGCAATGGTACTGTTCCTTTACCCTCTCTTCGATTTTGAGAAAGTAGTCATGTTGGGAGTCTGGCTCTCGAGATTCGGAGGACGGTGCATCTTCGATTTTGGAGCAAGCAATCTTGTTGGGACTGTTTTCTCGAATGTGAGTAAAGGTTGGGCATGTTTGCTAGTCTACCTTGCCACGAAGCACAGAGGTTGACACACAGGGACTTTCCAATTATCCAGCAGTGGTACTGTTCCTTTACCCTTGTGGGTAATAATATGGTAGCTAGACCTTCAAAATTTATGTGTCTAAACTTTGTTAGTGCTGTTTCTTTGCTATTCTTTTACCTTTCTTGGTCAGAGCGATGTAGTGGGAGCTGCAAGCTTCACGTGCTCAACTTTGGCAGAGAACTTTGGCAAAGTGATCTGTGGTACCCATGAGTTATTGTTGCGTGTGGGAAGTGGGTGATTGAACAGTAAGATTCATGTGCTTTCTACTTCACCAGAAGTCTTCGACAGAATGCCCATAATTTCTGCAAAGCTGAGTGTGCGTGTGACAGGTGCTGACAAGGCTAGAAAAGTAGATGCCTCTTCGATTTCTGAGATCGGCCCTCGTGGTATCTGAGCAGCCCAGCTTTTGAGAAAGCGAGCGCCTCTTCGATTGATTCGGAGAACGGTGCCTCACCGATTTTTTGAGAAAGCAATCATGCTGGGGGTCTGGCTCTCGAGATTCGGGGAGCAGTGTCTCTTCGATTTTTGAGAAAGTAATCATGTTGGGAGAGTGGCTCTCGAGATTCGGAGGGCGGTGCCTCTTCGATTTTGGAGCAAGCAATCTTGTTGGGAGTGTTTTCTCGAATGTGAGTAAAGGTTGGGCATGTTTGCTAGTCTACCTTGCCACGAAGCACAGAGGTTGACACACAGGGACTTTCCAATTATCCAGCAATGGTACTGTTCCTTTACCCCTCTCTTCGATTTTTAAGAAAGTAGTCATGTTGGGAGTCTGGCTCTTTAGATTCGGAGGACGGTGCCTCTTCGATTTTGGAGCAAGCAATCTTATTGGGAGTGTTTTCTCGAATGTGAGTAAAGGTTGGGCATGTTTGCTAGTCTACCTTGCCACGAAGCACAGAGGTTGACATACATGGACTTTCCAATTATCCAGCAGTGGTACTGTTCCTTTACCCTTGTGGGTAATAATATGGTAGCTAGACCTTCAAAATTTATGGGTCTAAACTTTGTTAGTGCTGTTTCTTTGCTATTCTTTTACCCTTCTTGGTCAGAGCGATGTAGTGGGAGCTGCAAGCTTCACGTGCTCAACTTTGGCAGAGAACTTTGGCAAAGTTATCTGTGGTACCCATGAGCTATTGTTGCGTGTGGGAAGTGGGTGATTGAACAGTAAGATTCATGTGTTTTCTACTTCCCCAGAAGTCTTTGACAGAATGCCCATAATTTCCGCAAAGCTGAGTGTGCGTGTGACAGGTGCTGACAAGGCTGGAAAAGTAGGTGCCTCTTCGATTTCTGAGATCGGCCCTCGTGGTCTCTAGGGAGCCCAGCTTTTGAGAAAGCGAGCGCCTCTTCGATTTCTGAGATCGGCCTTCGTGGTCTTTGAGCAGCCCAACTTTTGAGAAAGCAAACGGCTCTTCGATTTCTGAGATCAACCCTCGTGATCTCTAAGCAGCCCAACTTTTGAGAAAGCAAACGCCTCTTCGATTTCTGAGCAGGCGCCTCTTTGATTTCTGAAGCTCCGTCGAGTGCAGATTTTTATAGAGGCTGGCATTAAGTTCCAAAGCACACTTGAATCTCCACCAGTAGAAGCTTCATTCTTGCACTTCTAAGATCTTGATTTGT